GTGACCATGAACTTGCATAAATGACCTTGGTTCAAAGTCATGACACAACCTCAGGTCATAAGCAATGTTTCTGTGAAGTAGTAGATTCAAGTTTTTCCATAATAAAGATATGTAACAAACATGAATTATATAATTTTTCTTTCAGTGACCTTGAACTTGCACAGATGACCTTGGGTCAAGGTCTTGACACACCCTCAGGTCATGAGCAGTCTTTTTGTGAAATGAGAACCAAATGATCTTGGGTCAAGGTATCACCCTTCTTTGTGTGAAATGAGAAGTTTAGGAATCTTTTTGTGAAATGAGAACCTGTAAAGTTTATCCATAAGAAAGATATGGACCGGACACGAATCATGAAATTTTTCTTCCAGTGACCTTGAACTTCCCCAAATGACCTTGGGTCAAGGTCAGGACACACACTTAGGTCATGAGCAATCTTTGTGTGGAACGAGAACTTACCAGGTTTTTCCATAAGAAAGATATGGACCAGACACGAATTATGAAATTTTTCTTCCAGTGACCTTGAACTTCCCCAAATGACCTTGGGATATGTATGGAGTAGTATGCACTTATCCACTGGTTGTGAGTGGGATAGCTCTTTTATCAAACCTACGACAGGGAACTATTCCCCGAGGGCTTGCCTGGCTCACAACCAGTGGATAAGCGTTTTATTATACTGAGGCCATTTTTTTTTTATTAGTTGTTTTTCAAGACTTTTTTTGAAAAAATAAGGTCGGTCAGTCGGAAAAAAAAAAAAAAAAAAAGACAGTTGAAAAATGGTCGTACTAAACAGATTACTATAGAGTACTTTAGAGTACACTAGTATTAAATATTTCAAAATCTTCTACATGCAATTAAACTGCTTCTTGTTTAGTAGTAATTTTAATTTTTGATTTGATGTTGCGATTTATCGTTATGATCTAATTTAACTTGGAATGGTTCAATGTTAATGTGAAAAATAGCTACGTAATGCAATTAATTTAATTTTTGATAAATAAAATTTAGTTGATTGCAACTACCATTATGGGAATTAAAATTAATTTTAAAAGTTTAATCCTCACTTGTAAAATTGAATCATATATAAATAGCAGTTATGATAGAAATTCAAAATAAAAAAAAAAAATTCCTGGTAAATCATCTTCACGTTTTCTCAGTGGGCATTGCACTTCATGACTTATATTTACTGCATGTATTTACCATTAACAGAAGAATGGAGGAAATTCGGATTAGGAAAAAAACGATCATTTTTGGAAGTAAACAAGTCAAGTAGAATTGCAAAATAGATAAGATTGTGAATATTTACGAAGAATAGAAGCATACTGTATTAAAAATTTTCATTTATTGAAGACATCACATTAGATCAGAGAACAATTAATTAATCAGGACAAGCCCTCACCCCAATCGGTCACATGGACCAGTGGTAAAAGATCTATAGTGAATTTAATCTCAGAAATTTCGATTTTCTATCTGTTTTGCCGGTAGGACCAATGGTTTTTGGAAACACTGTATTGATGACATGTTCCTTTCCATGGTCGTCACCATTTTTGCAGCATGTGACACATTTTTTCCCCAAAGTTTACCTTTGTATTTTTCAGCGGCAATTTCAAATGTCAAAAAAAAGCCTATCAAAAATTTTTTTTTTTTTCAACTTCTCAAATTTTAAGTCGGCGGTCTTGAAAAACAACTAATAAAAAAAAAGTGGCCTGATGTATAATATAATTTCTGAGGTTTGAATTTTTTGGAGTAAGATAATACTGCAAGAATAATCTGAAATCCTGATGACGTCACAATGCTACTGAAGTCCATAGATTTATTGCTTGAAATCAAAATTGGAGGCAAAAATTGCATGAAAATTTTCCGAGGGTGGATAGCAAAAACTATACCCCGGGGTATAGCTTTGCTATGCGTGAACTATAAAAGATAGTTAGTTTACCTTCTGAACTTTATATAGGAAACATTTTAACAGAAGTATAATAATAGATTCTAACGTTCCTCCGTAAGAAAGATATGGACCGGACACGTTGGCACAGACAGACAGACGGACAGACTGACAAGCTGATTCCTATATACCCCCCTAAACTTCGTTTGCGGGGGGGGGTATAATTATATTATACAATATCAAATAAGTTTATCATATCATAGTTTGAATTACTTTTTTCTCAAATTCATCAAATAAGTTAGGATAATCATTAAAACTGTTTAAGATCCATTATGACGTCATAATCAATTTCAACTTTCTTTTTCCCGTACTTTACGGCTTTAGCAGATTATGTAGAAAAAAGGGTATTTTCATGACATTCAATTTGAAATCATATGAAAAGTAAACTGGATACCTATATTAAATTTGATATTGATTTAAAGAAGAGGCCATGAACATACTAATTACCATTTTCTGTAGGCAATCTGGATACATTTCCTCTGTCGAATATGAAAAAAACTCCCATATTCATGACTGGTTTTCTAAATTTTTCATTGAAAACGACAGTTTAAAATATAGTTTTTAATCTTGTTTACCTACAAATTATGCCCCGAAACACCTTATTTGACCAAGCTAAAGTTCTAAAGCATCAATAAAGGAATTTATTTCTCAAATTTGATAAATCTGTAGGCACCTTTCATTTACTAGATCTTGACCTTCAGGCTGATTCCATAGCCCAGTTTCAAAGAGATAACTGATAATTGCTTGTATCAGTTAGCTCCTTACACTAAATAAATTAACTTCTCTCTAATTTGACATGCAATTTTCTGTTATCAAAATTCTCATTGACCAGTGCTTGATAATTAAACCATTGGGAGAGGTAGATTATCTCTTATAAAATAACATTTGTTATGGATTGCTGTAAAGTATATGATGAAAAAATTTTTTTTCTTAATCTAACATTTTTTAAATAGGAATACAGAAACACTCTTACATTTTTTGGGATTGCATAATTAAATAGTAAAAGACAGTTTTTTTCTTAAAAATTTCAATCAAATTAAAAGTCACAGTCAACTTGAAATAGGTCACGACACACCTTCTACCCAAGATGCATAAATTGGCCAAGTTTGATGATTGTAAGTCTGATAGTTTTCTAGTTATGAGCCAAACAAAACCATAAAATAAAAAAGAAAAAATGCCTGTAAAATGCAGAAAACTCATCCAATCATGGTGAAAATACCACGTGCACACCTTCATATGGTAAATAATAAGTGTATAAATTTTCAGACAAATCCATCCAATTGTTTCTCAGAAACGGTCCGGACAAAATCTTGTCTACAGATGGACGGACAGACAAGCAGATTCCAATAAACCCTCCTAAACTTCGTTTGCGGGGGTATAAAAAAAAATGTTTATGTGTTGCATACATGTAACTCTCATCAACATCTATCAGCAAATGATTGATAAAAATATCTTGAATAGTTTCTTTGAAACTGAGCTTTGAACTGAGCTTAGTGCAAAGCACAATGCAAGGACAGATGGAAGATGGACATGACAAACGATATACGCCTGGCAGTATTCATGGCTGGCATAAAAATGTTGATGAAATCGAATAGCTCTCATCAGAAGTATTAGCATATGAAGTTTAATCAAAATATCTTGAATGGTTTCTTCAAACCTGAGATAAACACTAATTTAGGAAAAGTGAGGTCAAGGTCAAAAAATGTTATGAAGTTGCGCACAGTGTTGGTGTCAGAAAGTCAAAAATTACCATTGCGGTGGCATTTGTGCTTTTTTAAAAAATAATTTTAAAACAGTTCACTATATGAAAACTATGTATCATTAGGTTGATAATCGTATACTGAATACATTTTAACAAAAATATTGATAAAAAAATTTCATTTGTCAAAGATATTAATTTGATTATTCCATCAATTACATCAAAAAAGCATGTAGACTGTTAACAGGACGTTGCAGATGCAACGACAAAATGATAACTTCCATAAAACAAACAATACAAACATCAAATTTGGTAGAAAAATTCAAAATATGATGTAAATGACGTACATATATATTGTTACAATTGTGGTGTCATTCAATGGGGTATGCTATGAACGCATTGCTCAAAATCCAAGACAGAGATGTACATCGTAGACAAGAGTTAATCGACGAAATATGGGATACACCTAAAAAGTCTTTGATTACTTAAAAATATAATTACATGAGCTAATCTGTTTGAAATTACATCTCAATAATCCCTTTTGTGTGTTAATTAAGAACTATATTTTAGAATAGACTGATATTTTGTGTTGATTTGTATGTTGGATTTCTGATATTAAGCCGATTTATTGTGAGAATGTTGAATAAGATGGTGTGTCACAAAGTTTGGAGGTTCAGTGTCACAAAATTTTTAAGATCAGTAGAATGGCCAATTTTGTATTTACTGGGTGAAAAATCAATGTTGAATATCTTTTTAAATTCTACAAAAATGCTGTCATGTTATTAAGAAAAACATCTCTGCACATAATTTGTGCAAAAAAAATGACGGCATCCTAACATCCAGACATGTCTTAAACTTATTAGAACCCGACATTCTTAATGAAGTTCAAAGAAATTGATTGATTTATGCACAAGGTGGACCCCTGATGATGGCAGGCCTTATCACAATTATGAAATGACATGTTATTAATACTGCCGAAACACTCTTAATCAAAATCTACATATGAGCAACTGACCAAATGCTTCATTAAGAGTGTCGGGTTCTAATAAGTTTAAGACATGTCTGGATGTTAGGATGCCATCGTTTTTTTGCACAAATAAGCAACATATCTACAATCAAACAATGTACTGAAACAAAGGACAGATACTAGCACCTACTGATATGGTATGAAAATATTTTAAATGTATCTCAATTAAATAAAAAGCAGGTAGATTTAAAATGCCATGTAAAACAATTTTTGTAATTTCTATCACACTTTTTATTACATGTGGCAAATTATGCACATATTTCCCTACCTCATTAGGCATGCTAAATTCAAAAAGAGCTGGAAGGGGGTGGGGGAGGTTAGTTCACACCAAATAATACCTGTGTCTTTGACAGTACTTCTACCAGAGATTTTTTCCCAGACAAATTACTGGTCAGGTAATCAAGAGTAGACTGTATCTGGTACATTTTGTAACATGGTGGATTTGGCTCGGGGTCCAGGTTCCTGAAACCAAAGCATTAATATTAGTTCTTTTGTAAAACTCATTTTGACATGAAACACAAAATTCTACTAAATAAGAGGTAAACATCAAACAAAAGGCCAAATGAAGAAAGAGGTAAAGGTCAAAATATTGGTGCAGTGCATCTTGTATTAATGTGTTCCTACTATGTTCCAAGTTTAAAATCAAAATATCAAAGGGCACTCAAGCTATGGCCTGGACTCTTTTTTGATGATGTAAAAGATTGATATTGACCTTATAAATTGGAGGTATAATAAAATTTTTATGTATCAGTACTTTTTTTCAAAAATTGCAATTTTTCTGACTTTGAATGAGTGTTCACTTTTGGCATCTATCCAAACCTGGGCCTTATTTCACAAAAGAACTTATGTAAATCTAAATGTTAAGCAAAAAACTTTCCTTTTTTCGATACTTTGAAAATGGTTTAAATCTTTTTGAAAAGAATTTAGAAATTAAGAAAGATATTTTTATGCAAATAAATTTTAATAGAATTTTACAATCAACTTATTTTTTAGCTGTAGTCCAAAGTTCTTTTACAAAACAGGCCACAGGGTTCCAGCTGTAGGTTAAAAAATATTCCCCTGTAGATTGATATACATAAGCTACAACACTAATTCCTGTACCAACAACCAAAGAAAGCATTTTATTATTTAAATAATTCCTGTTTTTCTTAATAAATGGTAATCGATAGATTGAGAACTACTTGCTTGTTCTAAAAATAGAATATCCAGGTAAACTTCCATAAGAGTTAAATGAATAGTCTCCAGGTGTATTTAATTCTGTGCGCCCGTTTTAAAAAAGGTGTGCCTTTAGCAATGCACATTGCTAAACGTACATCGTGAATTCATAGAAATTTTATGACCGGCTTATTTTCAAAACAGACTTATTTTCAAGTAATTTTCAATGCAAGAAATAGGTGGCTTATTTTTAAAACCGTCTTATTATCAAATCCGTCTTATTTTCAACCTTTTAGGTTATTTGTCTAAATTTTTCAAATTTGCATTTTGAACCTAAAATTTATTATTTGCAACTTTGAAATTAACCTCCAAAGTTGGTCAAAACAGCATTTGTCCATTAATTAAAACACCAAGTTTTGCGTGAATTTTGGCCTAGAAGTCGTTCAGGGCAGGCCTGCACCTAAATTGATTTATGAAATTTTGATAGATTTTGATCTAAGGAATGATTTAAAACAAGAATTTTTTAGGGTCAAAATTCGTAAAAAAAAAAAAAAAAAATACAAAAAATGCGAAAACCTACTTCTTTAATACTGGTTGATATTTATGATGTGTCTACAAAGTCATTATAGCTCAGAAAGTTAGGCTGCGGACCTTCACCCTGAACAGTGTACTGGTTCGAATCCACCGAGTACCCAGGAAGAAGAGGAAGAAAAATAAATAGAAACGAACTCGTTGTAAGCAACCAGAGGTCTTCCGTCCGATTCTAAAATAAAAACGAACAAGAGGCCCACGGGCCTTATAGGTCACCTGAGTATTGTGTAACAACTTTCAAACAATTAAATTTGGTTCATGTTTTAAACCAGAGGCCATGGAATTCACAATTCACAATTTTGAAAGAGGCACCATTGCTTATCATAATTATAGACTTGGCATGGTTACTCTATTTACTTAATACCCAGAGGCAAATCAGAGTAACAAAGAGAAAATGCACTTCAACTTTATAACAAGTTGTGCACCTCACCCCAAAGGAACCACTGACACTGGGGCCACATATTTCAAAATTTTGCAAATTATATCAGAAAATAGTTGATTAATACCAAAGAGCAGATTTCAAAGCATTAATTTATTTTCAGACTATTCAGGGGGGGGGGGGGGTACAAAATTACCATTTTGCTAGATGCAACTTTCTTCATCATAAATATATATACTTGGATCATTGGCATAAAATCCAGGAGCAAATGAAAAGATTTTCAAAGAATTGATGTATTTTAACAATATAATCCATAGAGCCCCGCCCTGACACCAGAACCCCTGACCCTGGGGCCATAAAATTCACAAGAGGCACTCTCTCTTATCATAACTATGTGCTTAGTTAGTTTATTTAATACCAAGGAGCAGAGAAGAAGATTTCAAAGAATTAATGCATTTTCACTACTGTATACAGGGAAATTTTCGCCCCCGTTTTATTTTCGCCCCTTTCGACCTACCCTCATTTGGGCGAATTTAAAACGGGGCGAAATGAAATAATACAGTATATTTTTTTTAATAAAACTATGAATGGGCGAATTTAAAACGGTGCTAAATTGTTTGCAAGTGTGAAAGGCGAAAATTAAACGGGGTGAAAATAACCCTGTATACAGTATATGATCAATAGAGCCCCACCCTGACACCAGAACCCCTTACCCTGGGGCCATAAAATTCACAATTTTGGAAGAGTCACTCTTGCTCAACATAACTATGTACTTAGTTAGTTTATTTAATACCCAGGAGCAGAGAAGAAAATTTTCAAAGAATTAATGCATTTTCACTATATGATCAATAGAGCCCCGCCCTGACACCAGAACCCCTGACCCTTAGGCCATAAATTTTACAATTTTGGAAAAGGCACTCTTGCTTAACATAACTTTGTACTCAGTTAGTTTATTTAATACCCAGGAGCAGAGATGAAGGTTTTCAAAGAATTAATGTATTTCCACTATATGATCAATAGAGCCCTGCCTAACACCAGAGCCCCTAACCCTGGGGCCATAAAATTCACAATTTTGGAAGAGGCACTCTTGCTCAACATAACTATGTACTTAGTTTATTTAATACCCAGGAGCAGAGAAGAAGAATTTCAAAGCATTAATGCATTTTCACTATATAATCTATATAGCCCTGTCCTAGCACTAGAACCCCTGACCCTGAGGCCATGAATTTCAAAATTTTGGTAGAGGACTCAATGCTCATTACATTCATGCCAACAGTTTGCCTGCTTGATGCCTTGGAGTAAAGAAGAAGATTTTTAGAGATGGCAATAATTTTAGTGGTGTTGGCCCCACCCCTCAGGTCCCAGGGGGGCAGGGACCATAAAATTCACAACTTTTGTTCCCCTTCACCCATAAATGCTGTATACCAAATTTGGTTGAAATTGGTTCAGTGGTTTCAGAGAAGAAGCTGAAAATGTTCAAATGTTAACACACGACGCACGACACAAAACGACGGATGAAAACGGATAGCAATGGGTCACCTTAGTAACTCAGATGACCTAAAAATCAAGAAGAAAAAGTGATAAAAAGATACAGACACAAGGGGCATTGAACGAGGATTGCCCATGTGAAAATCCAAGGCGCTAACCATTACGCCCTTTTGAATCGCAGCTTCAAATTTTTAAAATGCAAATATCTCGTGATTAGCCTTTTCAATTCAAAAACAAATTACATATAATGTTATATTGAAAAAGTCGCTAATTATAACCAATTGAAAAATTTTGATTTTTACATCAGCTTCCGGTAGCGACTGGAAGTACCGACGACGAACGAAAAGGTGATTCTGCAAACCTAAATGTCATGGACTATCGTCTCCATTAAGTCTCCAGTTCAAACCTTCAGCCATTTTTGAAACCAGAAGTCTCTGTCGAGACTGAAGCTCTACTGGTTTGTACTTATAACAAAGGAAGAGAAAAGTAGCATTTGGGACTTAAAACTTTACAACAGCAATAAATAGAATAATGACGCTTGATTGAGCTCTTTTTGTGGCAAGATACTGCAATAAGACAACAGCAGTAGGAGTAGCTATTAACTCTTTTCCCCCTGATGCATTACATCCTTTACCCCCTGATGCCACCATTTGACGCTATGCCCCATTCCTGTTGACGACTTTTGACGCATATACACAACAACCCTAAATAGCTCTGTGATTTCCCCTGTTTCTAAATAAAGTCAGCACTAAAATAACAGCCAATCATGTGTATTACACATTAGGCCAAAGTTTTTTTTTCTCTTGGTTTACGATTCCGCCGACCCTATTTTTCCCTATTTACAAAAATAACTAGAAATGTCCAATAGGGACAAATACCCCCCGCTGGGTTTTTCAGAGAAGGTGCCAATTCAAAAATACTGTATGGATCTAGAGGGGTTCACAATTTACTTACAAATATTTGCAGTGAAATATTATTGCTCATCATGTTTCTTAATGAATGAAACAAAGGTGCAACCAAATGAAACATCAATACTAATACAATTTAATTCCATTGTAACATTTTTTTTTTTTTCATTTTATTTTTTTTTTATTTCTGCATTAAAAAAATATATTGCAATTATGTGTTATGTCACTCTGCAAACTGATTGTTGAAAAAAAACCATTATACAAAATCAAATTAATCTTGATATATCAATTTGAAATGCATTTTGAAAATAAAGAGCTGGTCATCCAGTAATGAAGTGCTTTGACAGACAATAAATTACAATTAAGAGAATAAGAGAAGAGAGATCTTTAATTCTTGTGCCTTATTCCCTGGAGATTAGATAACACACAGCTTTATAAGAGATATGCCTTAACAACTTCCAACACCAAACTCATTAATTTATCTTTAACTGGATGCATGTCCAGTCATTATTCCCAAGAGACAAATGAAATTACATTATCTTCTGTGCAATGTAAAAACTGTTTTTAACACTTGATGATGTTTCTTTTTTAAAAGTTTTTATGAGTAGTTTTAAGCTGTAGTATTTTTGAACAGATATTCTAGATTCTATATCTCAAACCTTATACATGAGCCCAAAATGAACAAGTCAATTAAAATAAAAAATAAAACCTGTAAAATGCAAAAAAATTAACAAAAAGAGTTGAAAATTAAGAGAATAAGAGAAGAGAGATCTTTAATTCTTGTGCCTTATTCCCTGGAGATTAGATAACACACAGCTTGATAAGAGATATGCCTTAACAACTTCCAACACCAAACTCATTAATTTATCTTTAACTGGATGCATGTCCAGTCATTATTCCCAAGAGACAAATGAAATTACATTATCTTTTAAGCTGTAGTA